TGCGCATTGGGGTGAACGAGATTGGCAAATTGTGGTAAATTAAAAATAATAAAAAATGTATTTGAAGTCATCATATACTCGCACGTTTTATGCTGATATACTTCCGAAAATAAACATTTGATAGTTGGTTTCATGTAAAAATACTAAAGCCCCAGCTAAGCTTATCACTTTTTACCACTTGAAAACTCGGCTAAAGAGATGATTAATAAACGTTATACCTATTTCCTCACCTTGTTGAGACTACTTGATTGGCTGAAAGCTTTGCCGCACACTGTGCATAAATGGGGGCGATGGTTTTCATGCACATGTAGTATATGAATTCGAAGTCGGTCCCTTTTCTCGAAGGATCTAAACGTAATCAACATAGGGAGTTATTCATGATTTAGTTTACATAGTTACAATATGAATATAATGTAACTCCTGCACAGAAATGTGTGTCGATGTTGAAGAAGTGTAAGGGTGTGAATTATTTCGATGGTACTTAGAACTAACAAATATTTTGCGTCGTGAAGTGGATACACAACCTTTGTCGCGGGGGTAAAGAAAGCGATATGTTGGCACCCTTCAGATTATTCAAGCCAGTTGCGCGATCAGGTACTCATTCCAACACAAGAGTACGTACTTCACAGTTTGCAAATGGCCACGTTACGACACACACATCAGTCAGTGTAGCATTTGAGTTACGGAATAGGTTACCTCGGGCAGATCGGGCACGGGTACTTCCTGTCGCCGTTATCGACGCATCTAGTGTACTTAAGGTGTTTATCGCGATAGTAGGAGTAACTGAACACCTTGCCGCAACGATCGCACGAGAATCCGGTGGCATCTAAATAGCAACTTACCGTACCGTTTCAAAACAGACTTTTCAGCAAAATCGTTTGTTCTAGCACCACCTAATCTGCATTCTGACTACTGACGGCATGATGCACTCGGACGGTTGCCTTGTTTGTGTTCGGACGGCATTTCAGCGCGAAATTAGATGTTTAATGAGCTTTGCCCTGTGTAGAGCCCACTGGATTACCACCGCTATTGAACCCTCTCATACGGTAACATATGGCTTTACATATTCGACGAGGAAGAAATGATGTAAGAAATGCGTTCTCATCGAATATTTATCTTCATTCCAATAAAATCTAAAGAATGTCGGCGATTCTAAAGCTATGTGAGGTACCTGCACAAAATTTGGTATCTAGCGAGAGATCAACTGGCTCCCTCTTCTCAACTTCAGTGACTGCTGTGGATGTGACTATTGATTTCAGAACAATTTCGTCTCCCCACCGTATATCTCGCACTACTAAGTTGCCTTCAACGTTGGCATTTGAGCAATCTTCGCGAATTAAGTTTTTCCATGATTTAGGTACCTTAAACAGAAATTACCTGAGGAGATTTGAGATATTTCATAAGAATAATCTCCTATTCACCTCTATGTAAGATCCCTTTTCGAAGCCTTCTTCTTTAGTACAAAGAACAACTGCATATCTTGTCGCCCCAAACTGCAGCGATATAAACATTAGGCCAGGCACCCTAGCTTTATATTCCGATGAAGATGACGACTCTGGAAATGGTTGACCGACATGAGCTGTGTCTTTATGTAGTTTTGACTTTGGCATGAGGCCTAAGGTAAAATATAATTTTTTCAGAAAATAACAGGAAAACTGTTTTGGTAGACTGTACTGCTTACCACTTTTTTAGTTTGAAGCCCAAATTCTTTTGCTCCCGTTACCATAAAGTTACAGTCATCGAATGCGTATTCAAAAGAATATGTGCAGGGAATAGTAAAA